CTCTCCTCTCCATCCACCTCCCCCTCCCTCCCCCCATGCACAGCAGAGGGGAGATTGACACAGCGTTTTCAGGCTGTGGCGTATGAGTACAGTAGCAGAGGAGGGTGCGCACAGACAGGATTACCATCAGTGAAGGAGGCAGCGGAGGACAGCAAAGGATTAAAGGAGAGACACGGCGGGGATGAAACAATGAATAAGCGATGAAGGAGTAACTAGAGGAAACTATTCAAAGAAAGGAAGAATTAAAGAAGTTGTCACACACCTTATGAACTTAAGGACGTTGGAGCTTTGCCCCGCAGAGTGAGAGCGAACTAAAAGTACAAGCAAAAGAAAGGAAACAACTGATCATTTGCAAGGTGAGAGTAACTCCTGCTCAAATGCCAATATTTAAGTATCAGAAAGATTTGCTGAAAAACAGTTTGATAAACTGAACTTTGAATACATTTATGTGATAACTTTGCTTGTATTTTAGAACTTTGGTAACCTCTGATGACAGACATGAAGAGCAGCTTTTAGTTTTGCATGCGGACAGCGCACTGTTTCGCAGAGATCAACCCAGAATAAGCACTGCGTCAGACGTACTCAAAGCTCGGGCATCATGGAAACTGCTGTGAAGGTTTAGGTCACACTAGTCATTCAAACACTGCAAATCTCTACAACCCTGGTGAAGCTTAAATGCATCACATGAAGACATATCAAGAATCATCAGGTATAAATATGCCCGAAGACAGTGATGCTGTCCACTTGTTGATCTTCTTACGCACCTGTCTTATGTTTTTATGCAATCTCATCAGAAGGGAATCATTGTTTCTGGAGCCTTCAGAAAAAGGAGAGGAACAGCCTCATTGTATCTTCCACATCTGCAGAGTAAAGTGAAGGAAAAGGGAATAAATTATCCACTGATGGCTCCACAAAGATGGAAGAAGTTGAAGGGATCCTCTGACACAATCTTCATAATGATGCAAACACATTTTCTTTTGCAGAAAATGCTAAACATGTGGACAACAGTGTGCAGGAACTTTAATATAAAATAAAACTTCTTAGTTTGTATGAAGGACAAATTGATTAATTATCCTCGATTACATCACTGTGACCTAGTCTCGTCAGGCTAATAAACGCTGGTAATCCTTTAGGTCAGTTAAATTGAATAAACTGTAGTGAGACATTTTATTCCAAAAAAACTCACTACATTGTTCAGAGGCATGACTGAGATATCAGACAACTAACTTTAAACGGTCAATAGACTTGAGCTGCTGCAGATGAGCAGTCGCCATAGCGACCTTTCTCTATCTGCTCATGAGAATAAAGAGAAGTTAGGCGGGATCAAGGTAAATGTGACCTGTGACTAAGTGTCATTGCTACTTTTAAAACTTTGTCATCACTTTCAACCCGATGTGTTGCAAAATGATCATGTGGTCAGTTTGTATAACCGGCCTGAATCGTGAACCAGAAAATACAATATGTTATGCAAAAATTAAAATAGGACAAAATAGGAAAAAAACCCCAAACAAATCTGAATTGAAGCCAAGATGGAGGATGTCTGGGATGTGAAGATAGCGTGGGAATAATTCTCTTCATGGCTACTGCTGATGCTCTGTAGGTACTGAGGTGAAACCAGGGTATGTATTGATTAGCTTTCACAGAAGAAAGAGAAGCAAAGAGAAGTGGGATGACTAACTAAAAACAGTCTTTTTGATAAGATTATCAAAGTTATTGATCAAAACCTGAATAATCAAATTCCACAACAGTGAATACAAACGATAGTTTAAGGCAACAATTGAAAAATAGTTCCTGTATATACAGAGTTTGAAGGTTAGCTTGTTGTATTTGAGTAGTTTTCAGTTTACTTCTAATTTTGTCTTCATGCAGAAAACATTTATATGCAATGTCATTTGCATTTGTTCACAAAGTCTTTTAAGGACACTGAAGCCACTTTCCTGTTTTCAACAATCAACGCATGATGACCAGCGATCAAGATCCTTGTGCATGATGACTGCTTCATCTGAGGCTGTATCTGATATAAAGCATGTCTGACATCTGATATAAAGCTCTGGCATTCGCACTGAAAATATTACTTTTCTTAGTGGCTGACAATGTCGTTTATCTCATCAGGGGCCATTATCAAAAGCTTTCGGGGAAATGAACACTTGAGCATCCTAATTTCCTTCTTATCACCCAGCTCACTTACCTCTTTTTTTAATCTTTGCTGAGTCTAATAGCCAGAAAGTCCCCAAGTTGCGAAGTCACATGTCTGCATTTGCATGTGCAAAATGTGCTATATACAAACATACACACAAACAATATATTCATAATTACAGCAGGGTTCCAACCAAAAATTACTTCAATATGAATGAGTCAGATAATGGCACCCTTAATCTACAATTGAATATCGTAATTAGACCAAATATCTCAATTCAAAAGGTACGTTTGATTTTGCATGTTTAAAAAAAGGCAAAAAAAAGAACTAAATCCTCATATGTGAGGAAACGAAACCATAAACATACCCTATATTTGCACAATTCATACACAAGCTTTAACAGAGACTCTTCCTTCTTATAACGTTTTAATCTGGATTATTTTCCAGACATATGCTAAAAATGTAAAATGCGAGAAAATATGTCTTTTTGAAATTTTATCATTCATATTTTTGTGATCAGTGTGGTTCTATTGCCCTCAGTGCAGTATGAACTTATTTGGGAAATAGGCAGGCAAAAGTAAAACATCCAAACTCTGCAGGGCTCCTCTCGTCCTCATTTGTGTTTTCACTCAGTGATGCAGATCAAAAGCCTGCACTGAGTGTCACCTCTTAGCGCCCATTTAAACATATTTAAAGTCACATGTAGCTGTTGTGTTCCTGCCCTTGCACCCTTTCTCTCATTCCACCCCTCCCTCCCTCTCTGAGTCATTTTATAAGAGCACTTAATACTGTATACTGCCCCCCTCCATGCACACACACAGCTGGTGACTCTCTCCACTTCCCTCCATCCCCTAAATGCCAGAGGAGATGTGTTCCTATGGAAACTGACACCAGAAAAAAAAATCCCCAGTTTTAGGTGGTGACCATTAACTGGTTTGTATTGTGTGTGTCTCATCACTGCTTCAACACTTTGGTACCTGCACTCTGCCAGCCCTCCTGTTCATTACAGCTTAGAAACCTTTTGCACTCAAAGGGAAGCCTTAGAGCTTATACACTGCTGGCTCACTGAAACAGACACAAGCTAGGAGATCTGCAAAATCATGCTGTTAGCTGGAAGTTAGCCTGAGTGGAGGCAGACACACACTACTTATTAAAAATCGAATCCCTGCAATCAGCACTTACAGACATTTCTCTATGTGTATGTGTTTTCCAGTGAACTCTCTGGTTGATTAGGAGAAATGATTAAAGCCTCCGACCCCGTCTTACAGAGAAACAAAAATACAGTTTCATGTGACACCTGAAAATTCAAGAAAAGTCAGTGTCACTTTGCTAATTTATTCTCTTATTTTACTATATTTTGAACTAGAAATCACGTAAAAAAAAAACCTCAGCTCAACACATGCATTTGATTCTGATGCCCGATATAGTGTTATATTATTGATATAAGCTACACTATAGACAGATATAGACAGTTTTGCGCCTTTAGATCGGGCCCCATATGTCTTAAACAAATAACTGCATAAACTTTTATTTTCAATTAAAGATGCATAAGATACGAATAGTCTCACAAACAGCTCTCTGACATTGCAGATGTGCTAAATAGATACAAAGAGAGAGTTTAATAGTAAACGCATTGTTCAAAAAATTTCAAATGACTTGTCTGACTGGATTTCATTAAGTCTGAAAAGCTTCTGAGAAAATAAAAGCACAATGGTGAACACAAAATGCAAATAAACTGTGTCATAGTAAGGTATGTGAGTCTTGGAGGGGTGGGAGGTAAGTTCATGCTACTATCCTTGATCTCTTGGTCTGGGTGTAGCAGTAATATAACACACTGGCTGCAATCAGGTTTGTAACATGTAATTTTGCTAGGTTGCCAAAGTATCTGTCAAACTCATTTTAGTTCATAGGCCACAGATCCCTTCATGTGATTGCAAGTGGACTAAAACTTTTAAAAAAAGAAAAAAGAAATCAGTTTTTTTTATTGTAAAGAAGTAGAGGTGCATTTTATCAGCATTAGCATTTGATAACAAAGCAAATGACAACAAGCCTGGGATGTCTTGGGAAAAAAGGCACAGGTTTTCAGTTTCAGTCCATTTTCTGTAATTAAAAAGAAAGAAAACGCTCCTTAAATTAAACAAAATATGCTGCCTTCTTCAGTGTGCGATGCCAGGCTGTGGTTGATGTCTTTGTCAGTCTTTAAAACTTCAGATGACTTCTTTTTGCTTTGTCTGTTACACTTATGCATCCTCATGGGAACCACATTTTAACTCACAAAACCAAAACCATGCATAGACTACTATTCCTCAGATTTTCCACTCATGCATTATTACTATTATGCAAAATATTAAATGTGGTGAGGTTGGTTTAAAAAAGCAAGACAGCAACCATCACATGACAGTTTCTGTTGAATTTTATGCTTCTTCCAGGGGTCTCTTCAGTGGCCTGAAAACCACCTGCTGTGAAGAGACCAGATGTTTGGGAGTAGGACACAGTTTGGCCTCCCACTGTGGCCCTCTACCTGTGATCACTGGTGCCATGGGAACAAGTAGAGCCAACAGGTGAGCCCAGTAATATCAGCCTGAACTCGTTTTACTTGGTGTTGCTGGAACTGTAGCATCTCATTATTACTGTATCAGCTCTGTTTGGGCAGCTATCTTTGAATTCTCAGCTTCATCTCATTATTTCCTGACTAATTTGTAGAGGATCAAAGACTGCTGCGTTCACTGAAACAATTTCATCCTTTTTTAATTTGAACGTTGGTTGGTTTAGAAGTATCCAACCGTCCGGTGAGAATGGGCTTGTTAATTTGGGTTGGCAGGGTGAGTCAGGACCAGCTCAGGGATATTTACAGTAAGCAGATCCTTAGAAAAGGCCAAGGCCGTCCTACGCTGTCCTGACCAGCTGCACATGAAGAGCTCTCGGCTTCAGGTAGCTGCAGCAGGCCTCGCACAGTGAAGAAGGAGGTTGCCTTGATGTATTATGCACTATGTTCATTTTTTTCCATTCTGTGTGTAAATCAATAGTCGGACACCTTATTTTTTGAACACACAACACCTAATTTCTTTCTTCTTTAACTGCTTGTTGTGACTTAAATATACCAAGGCGGTTCTTATGGATTTCATTTTGTCTTACAGTTTTGTGTCTTGCGAATCAGCATGATGTTTACCCCCAGCACCACAACCGCTCACATCCCCACCCAAGAAAAACAACACATAACATCGATTTGTCATTGTCAACATAAACTTAGCATCTCTCAAACAGAGCTCTCAAGTGTCAGTGGGTCAATGAATGATTAATAGAGTGTTAACACTCATTTACATATGATGAAGTGCCCCCACAGTACAGGCATGTCCATCCCAAAATGATTTGTCTGACTGACACTGAGTCACGTATAATCCTATAATCTGTGATGACAGCGATCCTTCTCACGCAGCTAAATTGAACTCACCTTCCTAGCAGGTAATCCTCTATGTAAAGGAGATGCTGATACACTCAGGTGAAGATGAGTTTGGTCAATTTAAGTAGACCATTTGTGACTCTGAGTTCAATATATGTTTTGTTTTATGACTGGAGTCATAAATGTTACTTGATGCTGACCTTCCAATCTGACTGGACTGAGAATGAGTAAAAAAAAGCAGCCAATGTCTAAGGACAAACTTTGAAAAGAGCTTCAGAAACCCAGAGAACTATTTCTCAACACCCCTTCAAAAATTGGAATTGGAAATTCTGGAGCTAATTGGAAGCAACAGATAAAGAAAAGAGTTTTGCACAGTACGCCACAATCAACTAAGAATAAAAGAAAAAAAATACAATTTTTAATCCAAGTCCCTTTTTTTCCTGACAGGTACAGCATTGTGTCTGATACTTTACCAGAGGAAGAAAGGCAAAAGATTTCTAGCTTAGGACTCCATAACGGCCACAGTTCACCCAGATTCAGACTGCACTTGGCCTGCACCTCAGAAGGAGAAGACAGGAGGAGGTCAGGAACCTCCGCTATCGTGCCCAGCACGACGGAGCAAGGAGTGATGAACAACTACAACGGAAAGGTTCTGACAAGGGGCTCCAACCAAGTACGGAGCCGATTTGTGAAGAAAAATGGACAATGTAACGTTGTGTTCACCAACATGGAAGAAAAGGGGCAGCGCTTTCTAGCTGACATCTTCACCACCTGTGTGGACATCCGCTGGAGATACCTGTTGGCTGTATTCTGCACCAGCTTTCTTGTCTCCTGGCTGTTTTTTGGTTTAATCTTTTACACTGTTGCCCTGGCACATGGGGACTTTGAAGAGCACCCTACACTGAAGGGTGATGGACTGACACCTGGAGGTCTGCACGGAGCCACATCTGGTCATACAACTGGAGAGCAAGCACAAAGGATGCCCTGCATCCTTCACGTTCAGGGGTTTATTGGGGCGCTCCTGTTCTCCATGGAGACCCAAACTACTATTGGTTACGGATGGCGCTGTGTTACCGAGGAGTGCCCTGTTGCTGTAATAACAGTGGTGATACAGTCCATAGTAGGCTGCATCATTGACTCTTTCATGATTGGCACCATTATGGCCAAGATGGCTCGGCCAAAGAAGAGGAACCAGACCCTCATGTTCTCCAAAAATGCTGTCATTGCGCTGCGTGATGGCAAGCTGTGCCTCATGTGGAGGGTGGGGAACCTGCGGAAGAGCCACATTGTGGAGGCTCACGTCCGTGCCCAGCTCATACGGTCGTATGTCACAGCTGAGGGCGAATTCATCCCTTTAGAGCAGATGGACCTCAATGTGGGCTATGATGAGGGCACAGACAGGCTGTTTCTAGTATCTCCACTGGTTATAGTCCATGAGATAGACAAAGATAGCCCCTTGTATACTCTGAGCCGAGCTGATCTGGAGGCAGATGACTTTGAGGTCGTTGTGATCCTGGAGGGAATGGTGGAGGCCACAGCCATGACCACCCAGTTCCGTAGCTCCTACCTTTCCAGAGAGATCTTCTGGGGCCACAGGTTTGAGCCTGTGATCTACGAGGACCGTGACCGCTACAAGGTAGACTACGCACGCTTTCACAAGACATACGAGGTGCCGTCAATGCCCCATCTCAGCGCCAAAGAGCTGGATGAAGCTGCGAGCATGGCTTCTTCCGCTGCTTCTCCTGCGTCTGCATGCAGAGCGACAAAAGACTTGATCCCCATGTCACTTAACGCTTTCTGCTATGAGAACGAGGTGGCATTGAGCTGTGGGGAGGAAGAGGATGATATATTTGACTCTTCTCAGATTGTAGGGAAGGAGAGGGCAGAGGAGAGAAGGACTTCAGTTTCTGTTGACTTCCAAAATATGTTCCACGACAACTCGACCGTGACTTCAGGCAGTCACAATGTCATGTGTGTTCTTGACATGGACAATAACCAGATGGAGTTTGATATCTTACAGACTGCAATTCCTCTTGATCCAGTGACCTATAAGAGCGAGCAAGAGATTCAGTGAGAAGGGGAAGGGTATATGGTCTCCCATGCTCCTCCTGTTTCTGGACCTGTTTTCTGCATGTCCCATACCCCTTTTGCCTTTCCAGTGTTATTTTATATTCACATTCAGTGGCTCAAAAGTAAGAAATGTTTCCTAAATAGTTTTGTGATGGAATTTCTTAGAGCTTTTGTCAAAGGTTCTTTGTGCAGAATAAGTCTGGCTTTTTTTATTTTGGCTCCCGACAGGATTTTGGCTCTTTTATTATGATTTGACAAAGGAAAGCACAGTGGCAGAAAAGCCCACGAACTTGGACTAAGAAATGTATATTTTGCATAATTTAAATGTTCTTTATCTTAACTTAATTTCTATGTGAACATAAACAATATATTTTATGAAAGAAATAGCAATTCTGATTTGAATTCTCTTTATGAAGAGAACTGAAGTTCTTCAAGTTTTATGCTCGATAAACTTCAGCCGGTTCGTGGATCATCATGCTGACAATAGTTTCCCACATTGTCTTTTATATTCCCATTTGTATTGAAGCTTGTTTCTACTGCTGAAAGAAGTCAGAATATTTGACTTACAAATGTACATTGAAATGGAAAATATTTGTGCGCTGCAAATGTTGAAATTTAGAGGAGAGAATCTTCTATATAAACGTTCATTCAAGTATATTTCCTAAAACTGCCCTATAATAAGTTATTTAGCATACATTATTGATAAACTTTTTGATTTTGTACAGTAGCAAAAAAAATTCTAAGTGCAATCACTAAGTGTAACAGAAGATGTTTCCTGAAGAACATAATAAAATTTCCTTAAGATAAACTTAGAGGGATGTCACTGGATTTAAAATCTAATGTTTAAAACATAGTTTTGAGCTTAAAGTTGATTTGTTAAAATGCTTAATTTTATTAGTGTATCAAGACTAAAATAACTTTATTAAGTTAGGATAATGATTAAAAAGTAGAGTACACTATAAAAAATTGTGTAAAAAAAAAGGGGGGGGGGGGGGGGGGGGGAATGTCTGGTAATTTTTGCATTAATTTTTAATGGAGGTTTGCGTATTTGGTAATTTGGTAACTGGTAAAATTATTGTGTGATTAAAAAATACAGGAAAAAATCCTTAAAAAGTTCATATGGAAAATGATTTCATTTTAAACTAGCACATTTCACTGTATTTTTACAGATTTTGTTTTTACTGTGCAGATTTCTTGATCGCTCCTTCTGAGGATTTCTTTCTTGGTTTGTTTCTTGCGGAGGTTGCAGGCTGTGATTACAGAATCAATACTGAGAATCGGCTTCAAAACACATTTGCTCTGTTACTGTCCGCCAAAGAAAGGTGTGGTGTTGGATAACAGTGGCCCGTGTACAGTACTTGCGTCTATGATAGTAGGAAGCACAACAGGAAACAAAGGGACGGAGGCTGTTTGTGCAGTCTCAGGAAGTGCAATAAGTATTTGGATGTGGGTGGACGGGATTATTACTGATGTCTTATGAATTGTTGCAGACAAAGTTGACATGATGATTGTATGATAGATGACATGAGAAATAAGTTTCCAATATTTACTGGGAAAGCATGCTGAGAGAGCCAAATGATATGATAGATGATAAAAGTTTACCATGGAAAATACTAAAATACCTGTAAATAAACATTATTTACTTTACTTTATTGTATTGTCAAATATTTCCCATCAATTAGTTTCAGACTGAGGCCTGAACAAATATTTGTAATATGTTTACCCCGTGGCTTTTACATGCAGTAATCAGACTGTACCGACTACAATATTCAGTCTGATGGTTTTTATTTTATTTTATCTTATTGTTTTGTTTTGTTTATTGAGACTTTTATGAGTTTCATTTTTTTTTGCTGACTGCTAGCAGGCGTGTTTGTTTTGTATTAATGTGAATGTGTGGGAGAGAGACTGGATGTAGAAACGATGTGCATCTGAGCAACAAACAGTAAATAGTTTTAGTTTTCATGTTTTATTGTCAAAATTCTCAATCCAGATAACTAGGATTATACAAAGCATATGTAAAGCAACTCAACTGACAAACATACACTGCCAGCCAAAGTAAAATACTTACTATGGTTTAATGATTTCAACACTGCAGGATGACAAAATAAAAAATACAAACATAACTGACTTTTAAATAACTTACACTTTGATGTGCATATCAGTTTCACGTTTATCATCATGTTTATTCATATTTATAAATGTTTTTGACAGTGCAGTGCAAGTTTTGGTGTAAATGTTTTTTTGTTTGCCCTGGTACATCTTGTAAATAAGACTGAAATTACTGTATCCATAATAATTTTCTCAAACATTCATATGAAATGCATATTTAACACATTTAAATTCAAATTTTACAATTGTGTGAGTTTGATTTGACAAGGACACCATAAAATACGGAGGACCAAAACATTACTTAATTAAATTAACATATTAAATGAAAATGTGCCTGATTTGGCACATTTGATGGCATATTCATTTAGTTACTGAAAGCAGGTGAGCCACCGAGATGCAATAAACAAGTAAAATTGGAGTTCTGGACTTCTGATTCTGACTTTTTTTAGTGTGGTTGTTCGTGTAATTTCTGAAATTTTACTTTATATTTATTTATTGAGACATATACATTGTCGGTTTTGGTTCTCCATATTTAAATGTCATCAGATTCTGATTAAAATGTTGCTAAATTTCTATACTTGTGTACAGATTATTTTGACATGAACATGGGCAAAAAAATTACAATTTTAAGTTACTCTGAAATTCTTAAGTTATTTTAAAAATAAAAAAGTGAAAACACATTTTTCACAAGGTTTTGACTGGCAGTGTATAAAAGTCTTTATGCAATGTCAGTTCTGGATTGTGTAATACTTGACAAGAATGGGTGTTAACTTAACAAGTAAGTGTTTTGTATCCTTTGCTATAAAGTCTTCCTGCTTTGTAGAAATCAAATGATTTTCCATTCCTTCCTTGGGGATTAACACACGCACTGAGCAAACTACTGTCAGACTGAAATAAGCTGAAAAGATTTAAAAACAAAAAAAAAAAACCCCTGAAGTACAAAGCACTTTATTCTTTCTTGTACAATTTTTGATGTTGCAAATAAATATTTCTGTATTATGTCTAAGTGTCTCTTGCTCTCTCTCTCTGTTCTCTCTCTCTCTCTCTCTCCCTCTCTCTCACACACACACACACACACACACACACACACACACACACACACACACACACACACACACACACACACACACTCCTTTCTAGTGTATGCACTGAACTCCTCTGCACTGTTTGCCATTCCTCTCCGCAGCCACTAGATGCCTCTGCAGGCGTTTCCATCACATGAGAAGTGTATTGCTGCTTTTAAGTGCAACCTAAATTTATAATTTTGTTTTTCTTAAAGGCAAAACTATAAAAAAGAAATATATATCACTGGAAAAACAAGAGTTTTGGCCTCAGATAGTTTGATGTAATTTCAAATGTCTGCCTTTTTGCACTAAAGGGCATTGCCCTGGGTGTGGCATCTCACAAGGGACACCACAATGGTGCCAGAGAGCTGAAAGCATCATCATTATAACATATCACTTGATAAACAGAGAGAAAATGTGACTCAGATTTTGATGGGTTTTGGTCTTTTTTAAACTTATGTCCTGGAAATGTGAGGTTCTTTTTATAGGATTGTTTTTTATTAACAGGAAAACTTTTATGAACCTCATTAGAGGTTTCACTGATGAGAAGACACAAGTTATGTTTGAATGATTCAAAAGGTACACGCTTTAAACTCACGGCAGCATTTCCTGCTGCATTAAAAATATCTGACCCCCCAAAAAGCAGCTATATTTTCAAATGACAGTAATCACAGCAGGCCATGGTACATATCACATGATTAGCTTTCAGTGCTACAAAGCACAATCCTAGTGACTGATAAATGTTCAAAGGACTCTAAAGTGTGCATCCATCCAGAGTCACATGTCTGTTGTGTTTGCCTCTGAGATGGATGGTTTGACCAGACAAAAGAAAATCAAAGGAATATCGGCAGAAACTCGGAATGAAAGCAAGCACGTCAAACCAGACTGATCATTATCTTTAAATGCATATTTGTTTGAATCAAAGGACCCGATTGACAACTGAAGCCCCCTAAGGGTAATTTTTTTAATCCAAAATAGGTCATTTACACATATAAAGCACACATTTTGTTTCCATCATGCATTGTGATGAACAAAAAAGTAACAGACGGATGAGAGGAAGCAGCGAAACAACCTCAACTGATGACGCTTAAAGTAGTTTTTTTTTACTTATATAAAAAAGTATTTACTGTTTATTCGTTTTAATCTGTCATATTTCATTTGTGTGGCAGAAATAACATAATAATAGTGCAGGAATAACAACCTATTTCTGTATGTAGGAAAGAGGGGATAAGGATTGATTTGGGAAGCAAGGCATTTGTCTGTTGTCAAAATGAAGATTAAACTGCAGAAATTCAGTCACTTACATATTTAGGAAATATAAATATGTTGTGTTTTCTCAGATGTATTTATAAAGTTTTAAAACTATTTTGGAATCGGATCAATTCAAAACAACATTGTAGGATGGAGACATAACACTTTTGAAATATTCTAGTCTCGGAGACTTCCAAACTTTCCAGATCTGATGACTTCATGATAATTTAGCCAAGAAAGTTTGCAAAATTAATGCAAGTACTGGAACTTCTTGTGCAATGGAAGCCAGCGCCCTCTGCTGGACAAGTACTAGAAATTTTTTCTTGACTGGACCTTTTTCATCGGTGACATTCTAGTTTGATGGAAAAGATTGTGTGCAAAGAGAGAAGAAAACTGACTGGCTTCTAATAACTTCATGGACAGCAGTACCAGCAATCTTTTACACTTCTAGTCAAGCGTGTCTAGATGCAAACTCTCTATGAATCTTATCCAACTATGCAAAATTACTGCTTCTGATAACGTAAAAATGCAGAAAATCCAACATGACACAAACAAGCAATGGTATGTTGATGTCATTTGGTCGATCAATCAATGGAAGTTGATTTTAAGTCACAGTCAAAGATCAGTCCTACACACTGACTATGGCCAATTTAGAATCACATGGAGAGATACATATATCCTTTTTGGAGTCTTAATGGTGTAAAACTGATCCACTGATTTGCAATTCAGCAGGGTGTAGTGTCTTTCAGGTCTAAATACAGAGCAGACCTCCTAATGTTACACATTTGATGAGTAACTATAAAGGGAATCCAGCTTCTCAGTGCATAAGTTATTTCTGCAAATATGGGTGCTTAATAAAAGGGGTCACACTGATGGGCTGCTTACAACATTAAGAGTTGTGAGACCTTACAGCTGATGTTAATATACTAATATCCAAAATGCATTTTGTGGGTTTTTGATTAAATAATTTCTCTCAACTTTCCTGTCTTCTCACCGACTTCTTAATTATATGCCATCTCTGTCTGTCAGTCTAAAGCATTTCCCATGCACAAGAATCCTGACAGCAAAAACAGGCGACCTCTGAGCCACAGGAGAAGTGGAGAAGCATTGAAAATGAAAAGAGGGACAGGAGGATGAAGGGGCAAGCTGCTCAGTAACCTCGGGCCTCGAGGCTATCGGCTTTTCATTAGCGAGTCAGTGAGTGAGTGAATGAGCGCAATCGTTGGAATGGTAAAACAGGAGAAGCCGTGCTGGGCCACGTCGGCTATTAGGGTGATTTGGGGGCTCCCACTGACTCCCATTGTGCATTGTCTCCAGAGTGAGCAAATGAGGCCCAACAGTAAGCCTTTGTGTGGGACATTTAACTGCCGTTTAGCATGCTAATTATGGGAAATGTGTGTTTCTCTGTGTGCCAGCAAGTATCCATCATGTTCTGGTCTCTTCCATCTCTCTCTTGGGATTTACACTCTTCCAGCTCCTCTCTGTCTCCGTTTTCTATCTTTCCCCAAGGCACCAAGCCCCACTGATCTCAGAGTCACTGCCTGACCCCGGTTGAAGCTCCTTTCCTGTTGTGTCCGTCTTCTT